AAGTTGTGCGATATACATATTATTGTCTTGCTGATCATAAATAAATTTGTTAAAAATTTTATTTGACTCAGGTTATCTAAGGGTCAAACTATAACGGGTCAGGTCAGGGTCGGGTTTATAAATATTAACCTGGGTATTTGTACAGGTTAGTTTTTATAAACGGGTCGAGTCTGAGTACATCCTCAAACCCGATCTGATTCGACCCTTTCGGAATACTAATTTGGTGTTCCAGGGCATGGTGATGCAGGATATGGACTAGTATTATTCACTTTAGTGCATAATTTCACTTTCTTCAGAGTTGACATACATGCAGACAACTTGTGTTGACCCTCATCTCAAGGTCATTTTCAGAGTCCGGCACTCTTAAAGGCTTTTGTAGTCTGTCCTGCTGTTTGAACCATCTTTACCGTCTCTTGAACTACAGACTAACGTTTACAAATATGTCAACTTTGTATAATAAAACATAGAACAAAAAGCATAAACCTAACCTTAGCATTCAGAACAGATGCCAGGATCATTAAAATGGAATCGAATTTTTCTACTGTGTCTGGCACTTGCAACGTATCACATCGTCGATATCTGCAGACGTAGCCTTTAGGGTTATCAGCATATACCACTGTCAACATAAGGCCTATTACAGAATTAATATATTGATTAATGACAAGCATCTGATAATTCTTAATAAAAAAAAGCTCAGTCACATACCTCTGTGAATAATCCCTATCGTCTTTTTTTGCGAATCTCACTGTTCTAACTTATTCTTTCCATTAAACTTAATAACATATCTTTAAGTGTCTTAGGAAGTTTTAATCCTCCTTCCCTAAGATACTTCGTTTCATATTCGTCTAGCCAACATTTACCTGCCTCCCCAGCTCCAAATTTATCCTTGTTGCCATTACTAACGGCCCTGAGGATCCAGTCCCCTCTTCAACCAATTTTTCTACGTTCTCCTAATTTTCTTTTCGCTTTTTTATTTTTTCGTGTCGCAGTCGACACACTTGTGCTTCACCTCTTGATCGTTAAAAAAAGAAATCTCGTTAAATCAAAGCAGTTATTTTCATCGAGAAAAAGAAAAAAAATACCTGACAACAGCTATTGTCTTCATATCCCCGAAAGCTTGATCAAAGATCACACTCCAAATATAGCAGTTGAACCAGTTTTCAAGGTTAGTGTCTGTGATTTTTCCACTTTCAATTTCCCTCACTCTGTAAGTAGTTACAGTCAATTCACTATTGCAAAGAAGTCACAAGGACAACAATAGAATTGTGACTTACAACGCATATAATGCAAGGCATATATAGTCCATATCGTGGTGTTTCTCACGGTCATAATTACTGCTAAAACTTACTTCCTTTATTATTTGCTAAATTTCGTTTAAATTCGTCTACAACAAATGAGAAAAAACTTGATGACTTATTGCAGTATGCTGGCAACATGTAAATGAAATATTTATTACCTTGCAAGTGAATTTATTTATTAAATTGATAATTTCATCTGAGAGCTCAGATACTTCTGGGATAGGCGTGTTCTCTATCTCATAAAGTTCCGCTTCAGTGAAATGTTCTGCAATTAATATATCGTCAACATCTAGGATAAACGAATAGACGGCACTAATGAATAAAACTATAATTTAGTATGATTATTCCTATAACACAACAAAAGCATAATCATATGTATGAATACTTACTGCTCAAACTCCAAATCTTTCCCCAGCTTATATAACTCTTCTTCGACAATCCGTTCGGATGAAAGTTTCCACATGAATTGCTTATCCATTAATTTATATACTTTCTCAATCTCTTTACGATTTGTCTCACTCAGTTTAAATGGTCCATTCTAAGTAGCAAAAACATAATATTCAGTATATATAAAAAAACCGGAACTAGGGGTCAGGGGTCTAATGAGATTTTACTTTGTTTTCCTTCACTTTATCATTGGTCACCTCCTTCACCTCTCCTTGTTGATCAATCGCCTCCTTAAAGAGTAGATGGTGGTTAGAATAATAAACGTTTATGGCTAACAACATCCGTCCTGATATAATTTACCTGATCAAATATGTCCAAATCATCATCTTCAGATACAGAGATTGGATCCTGCAATTCAACATTATTCTTTGAATCGGTATGATATTCTGCACCGCTTCTAGATCTACTTTGTTCTTGCTTATCCTTCTCAAGTCTTTTCAAAGATTGTTTGCATTCGTCCACGATCTCATTACCAACATTCTCTCTCACAGCTTGGTATGCATCAATTGTTTTTGATCGAATAGTTCCTTATACACGATTCTATAGTGACAGTTTGATAGTTTGCTTATGTTTAGCATAAATTAACGTGTGTGCATAAAAATGTTTTTCACCTGCCTTCTTGCGTTCTTTTATAATTTCCTGCCAATATGGACGAGTATCCTGTTGGAAATAATGTATAACATAAATAGCATACCATATCATAACAGGAAGCTCTATAACATTTAACTCTATAACATCACAAAATAGACCATTGTCGCAAATAATGAGAACTAGAAAAATGTGCCTATACTCTGGATTCAGGTAAATAGCTGTCAAGAGGTATTCTTCAATATCACTTGGGTTAGGAAAATATGCCTATACTCTGGATTCAGGTAAATAGCTGTCAAGAGGTATTCTTCATTATCACTTGGGTTAGGAAAATGTGCCTATACTCTGGATTCAGGCAATATCTGTCAAGAGGTACCCTACGGCTAACTAAATTAAAATATATTCACCTCTTCCGTGACTGACGGTGGATTCAGTTCTTTTGATGCTTTCGAAAACCGCCTGTATTACGCACCATTGAGCCCTTTTCAATCTTCTGTTAACGGAGGTGTTTTGACAATTATGTGGCAGGCTGATTTCAAAAATCCTAAGTATGACACAGAACTGGGTACAATACTGTTTAAGTAGGTTTCGAGAGCTATTGAAAGCAAAATATAATCGATTAGCACCTAATACATAAGAAGCTCTTTTCATTTATTTAAATTAATACTTGCCCGTTCAACTGTATCAAATTTTTGCTTATTAATACAGTTGCCCAATAATTGCTTAGTATTGCTCATTGTAATATCGTTATCATATAA